AATATCATTATCAACCTCGTGTAAGCTCATCAAAGAAAGAATACATATCTAAGATTGTGATTATATCTATATAGCTGCAGCTTAACTGGGTCCAATGCTGATTTGGACTCCCGAGATCAATCCCGCTGACAGGTGATTGCTGATGGCAGTGATCGATAGAACTAGCTGAGAGATAGGCGAAACGAAAGGCTTGCATGGTGTGGTGGTGAATGCGTTACTCCCCGGAAAGGACAATAGCGCGTTCGTTCCCCACCGCAGACACCTGTGGTCCGGAATTTTGCAAATATTTCAGCATTATAGAAGTTATATGGGATTGATACCCAACCAAACAGTTAGGCGAATGTTTTAAATACAACTAACTCGCCTCGAATCTTATGATGCCGTGTTCGAAAACAGTAATATATCGGAAGTGCCATAGACAGCAAGAGCGCTCACACAAATAAATGGATGTTAGAATGTTTTAATAAAACTGCTAAAGTTGACGGAGGCATTTGCTTTTCTTGGAATTCTTTCTTAGCTACAAAGCTAAAGCAACACTTCATCTCATTATGTCGTAGCGGGCGCTTTTGGGATGGCAATGAAGAAGTTCTTCTACATGTGCATCATTCTCCTCAATATGAGTATTCACCTAGCTATATTGTGTTTAATGTAGAATTCGTCCCTGGTTCATTCCCTCGAGTGATGCTTGCGTACGTATTGTCATCATCGACACTCCTGTTTACACTTCTTTTAATTTACCTAGGACGCCCGGGAAACACTGATTTCTATTTTGAGCGCTTCCGAATTCCCTCGTATCTATTTTAAAACATTTTGCTTTAATCATAATACCCATCGTTATTAATTTCCTTCTCCTTCGCACTGAAATCATTTTGTCTTCATGCGGCATCGTAACGCACTCCTATGCTCGTGTCAGCTGGCCAGATGCAGGAAACGGAATTTCGTCTGAGCCATTGCGACGAAGTCTAAAATTCAGAGAGAGCAGATTATCAGACCGGTAAAAGACGAAGGAAATGTTGACAAGGAGTGGAAATCTTATTGAATTGCTGGAACCAGAATTATCAAGAAGACAGGTGGGAAAAATAACGACATCCTCAACAGCATTCCTAAAAGCTCCAGAGTAGCTCATATCCCAGTCGATCGTCAAAGAGGAGTTTGAACATGCTACATTCTGGTCAACTGGTAACAGTTAACTGTTGCGACTTAGGTAAACCAAATGAAAAAGTCTCAAAAATTGTTAAAATCTTCAAAGTATTCACGTAGATATTTCACTGGTAAGATTTTTTTGCGCTTGGATTTATCCACGATTCTCGAAAGAAATGTCAGTATAGTTCCCAGGATCGACTTTCTATTAACCTCGGCATTGGAATATGAATGCGTCGTTTTCTTGTTCAACAATCGCGAGGTTTTTAAATAGCATACATTTACTTCCATAAAAAACAATACAATACAACGCTAGCTGACGTTTCGGCAGTATCGCCTTCTTCAGAGCCTGGAAGGGTATACTGATATACAATCTACTAGGCCAAATGTCAGTATGGTGGTTTAACGCAGAAGGAACCCCGGAGGAGAGAAATTTTCACACAGTCACTGCTTCCCAAGAGATGATTCTCTGGAGAAGAATCGGGGTGAATAAGAAAATCGGCTAATTTCCATTAATAACATATCAAAATCAGAGCTTAACTCTAGAAACATGACATTTCTAAGAAGCAATCTACCAGCCCTGGAGAATTGAATTTGGGATGCGTCACCTCTGTTAAAGTCCGGAATCAGGTCTGGTGGAGTTTTGTATTTGTGCATTGCTGGAGCAGAAATTGGAGAACAAGAAAGTCACGAACATTATGAATAATATGAATAATATTACGAATAATAATATGAATAATGTTTTGAATATTATGTTTGGAACATCACAGAATCATAGAGGAGACTACTATCTGTCGGTTGATAGATTGAACTGGTATGCATGCTACTATTTACTCCATCTCGCTGTGGTCCGCGTGTGGCGCAGTTTTCGGACGGGCCCTGCAATACATATGGGATCTGTCCCCGTACCTCCTCCCAGGCCCCCTTAGCCCTCCATCCCTCTGGGGTCGGCAAGTTGGTACCAGACTTATCTGGAAGGATAGCAGCACTGGCTCTATACATCGGTAGCCCATCACAAATAATTATACAGACCAGATATGCATTTAATCACCTCTAACGATGCTTGATGAAGTCGAATGCATGGAACATCCCCAAGGCATAGATCAACGCCGACAGCTTCATCCTTGTCTACTGTAGTCCGACAAATAAACACATTGCTTTTCAAGCATTTGCAAATGTTATGAAGTTTATCTTCGGTCAATAGCCATTTTTTGCAACCACCCATTTCATACGACACCTACGACTCATTGCAACGATTACAAAGGAGACTATGGGACTGAAAAACAACAAAACAGCTCTGAAGGTGAAACCATCAGAACGTCGGTCAGCACTGTACTGAACCAGGCCTGCTGTTGACAAGCTCGTATTTGCTCATCATGAAAAATGTGTATTGTTGAAACTGCAGTGAATTAGCAGTCAAATTACCGGCTAATGAACTCGTTCGAGAAACGATTTTTGTATATTTCCAAGTGCGGAATAGCGCTTTCTGTCCGACTCTCTCCACAACAGCTATGTTTAATAAGCAATCGATTGATTTCAAAAAGTGTAGAGGAACAATCGTGTGAACCAAATAAACAACAGCAGACAGGATGACCTCTATAGAATTCACTCCGGCCACTGTGTCGCTCGAAAAAAAAACCACAGTCGAGGTGACGTTGTCGAGTGGACTGGGCATGCGCCATGTAATAGTTGGAGTAGGAAACCACGTAGCTGAACAATCGCGTTTGAATCCAGTTCAACAGGTCAGCAGGAGACAGCTATACAACGGGTATCGGATTCTTTCAAGGACTAACGGATTTGCAGAATACAGGGATTACAATTTCCCACCTTCACAAATACCCATCCCAATTCGCGAAAATGTAGGATATCCGATCGCAGGGCTCGCAATTTGCGCCAGCGCGAGGATTGGCGCGAACCTCGTCCGCTGTGAATGTTCGAGAAATCATGGACCATGTGTGGTGCCAGCGTTATTCCACTAGGGACAAATGCATTGCACTTCGTGACTACGTCATTCCACTGTTGCCGAGTCTTCGTTTACGTATATTCGCCGGGAAGGACCTCTAGCATCGTGGTCCCAGCTGTTGCGGTCCTCCTTCTTCGTCGTGGACTGTTTTGCTCCTATGAAGAAGTACCATGAGCACTGCTGTTCTTTGCAGAGTGAATAGGAAAACCGAGAAAAATAATTGTTTCCGTTGAAGTATGGACTATCTTCCAGTGTCTTCTCATATTCGTTCGATGGCTTGCATCGTAGATCGTGAACTATCGATTTTGGGACTATTTGGATTTTTTTCAGGATTTTAGGATTATTAGGACCTTTAGGACTGTTTTATTGATTGATTTCAGCAGATTCTATCCAGCTATGTTTTCCTCTCTCATCCGGAACCACGTTGTTTCCTAGCAAGGTTTCTTTTGGCTAGGTTAGGAAGTATATTTCAGAGTAACCATGTTCTTCCACAGTGGGATGGGCGGTATGGGTAAAGCGCAAGACACTCCGGTCGACACTCGGCTCTATGACTTACTCAAAGTAAAGCCTGATGCTAGCGACGACGAGATTAAGAAGGTCAGTTCTGAAACGTTGGTTTGAAAACCTATTTCATTTCCGACACTGCTGTCCATGACCTTAGGGCTGGCATACAACCTAGTTTGTGAAGGGCCTGAACATTTTTGAAAGCGCTAATTGTTGTCGAGGTTGGAAAGTGGAATTTCATCCCATTCCCGAGGTTATAAACCAGAGAAGTCATGCGCAGGTATAGAGAATATCCCTCAATCTTATTGTTTGCACTGTCGGAGTTGTCTAACTTTGTAAATGGTGTTCACTTGTAATCTTAGGAAGTGTATTGGTGAATATTTTATGGTAACAGTTGTTTCGAAGTGTTTCATATTGTTTTGGTCTCAGAGTCCTGGTGTATGCTGGCCTAACCAAAAGCGAATGTGGGACTTACATTTTGCTTGGTTTTAGAACAAATTTTTTAAATTTTTAGTCTCATTTACTGCCTACTATTTTTTGATGGCTGGGTATTATGTAAAATGCAACTACAATGATGCCAAGATATTTTTGCAGAAGTCTGAATCCCAGGGTGCGAGCTTTTATCTTTACGAAAAGGACGAAAAGGGAGGATTATTCTGAACTTACGAACTCTTTCATGGCAACAAAAATAATACGAAAATGATTTTACTGGTTGGAACTTTTTGTTGTTTAAAGCCATTTTTGATCCAGGCATATCGGAAGCTCGCAAAGGAGTTCCATCCCGACAAGAATCCAAATCATGGCGATCTGGTTCGTCTTTATTTTCTGAGTTGTCATTTTCGAACTACTTTTTTTGTGATTTAGTTCAAAGAAATAAGTTTTGCTTATGAAATATTGTCCAATCCTGAGCGACGTCGTGTGTACGATTTACGTGGTATGGATGGTATCAAAGAAGGAGGTGCAAGTGCAGGTAAGCTGGAAAAACAACGAGGGACTCTATTCGTCACTGATATTTCTTGACCCTTATCACCAGGTGGTTTTGGTGGAGATCTGTTCTCGCATATATTTGGTGATGACGAAGACTCTCCTTTCGGCGGATTTTTCGGAATGGGCGGCGGTGGAAGACGGTTAGTCAACGTCATTGTATTGCTCTATTAAAAGTCGCGTTTATAAGATATTTTTATGATTTCGAATTTCAGTCGGACTCGACGCAAATTCCAAGATACTATATACCCCTTGAATGTGACACTTGAAGAAGTCTATGTTGGGAAAAAAGCTAAACTGCGGTTATCCAAGAAAGCGCTTTGTAGCGCATGCAAAGGGTAGGTATTCTTCCTATGTTACGTAGTCCATCAGTTGTGGTCTCCCTTCTACTATTTCCCTTCTTTCCATCTTTAAGTTGAAGTTCTTTTGTGTCATTTCTTGAAAATTTCCAAAATTTAATGAAGAAAAGTTCGTGATAGGTGGTGTTTCAATTAAGAACTGGTGCAAAAACGGGTCAGTCGTACGAATGCCGCACATGTCGTGGACGAGGCATCAAGAATGTCATACAACAGATTGGACCAGGGATGATTCAACAAATGCAAGTTAGATGCCCTGATTGCCGTGGTGAAGGTGAGTTGTTTTAGAAGAATTCTTTGAACACTATAGAGCAGGAAGTTTTCTGGAAAGTTATTCTTCTCTAAATTTTACATCTTCTGGGAAAGTTGTTCAATTTTTTAGAGAGAGCGACTCATTTTCTTCGAAATCCGTCAATATTATCAAGACATTCTATGGCATTTATTTCAATGCATGACGGGTACTAATATGGCTGCTACATTTGCACATTGAAGTCCACAACCTAGAGACACATTATCGCCCGGTAGGGTGGTAAATCACCGAGGAGATTTGCATAGATATAATTGTGTTGCGTAATAGGACTACTTATGCAGTTTCCGTCCATCGATGTCTAAAATTTCAACACTGTATTTTCTGAACTCTTCTTCTGAAAACTTTACACTGGTGTTGTAATCGCTGGACTAACCATGCATATTAGAATATACAGTTCTTTCAGCAAGTACATTTTACATACCATATGCGATAGTTAATAATGGGGCTCGTGTAGCGCAGTGGTCTTAGGCGCCCTGCAACACGCATGGGATCCCTGCGCCCCAAGTCCAGCGATGCTTAACGAAGTCGAATGCATGGCGCATCCCTCAGGGATAGATAAACACCGAGAGCTTTATCCTTTTTGTCCTACAATAGTTTCATCCCACAACCTCTTCAATGTACATTTCTTACCGATGATTTGCATGCATTTACAACCATTACAATTCTGCAAACTACAATTTGCCGTCATCTATTGCAGTTTTTGTTAAGAACATCAATAATTGGACCGATCTTGAACAAGTTATCTCGTCCATCATAGATTGCGTTGTCGTGCAGCTAACTTGTGGTAGTTCATATCTACGCATTTTACTTTGGCAGAGAGAGGTTCAGGTGCTGTAGAACTAAGACAAGTGCTCTAATAATCTTTTAGTCGTCTTTGCTCGAAAGTTTACTTCCGAAGGGGAAGTACAAATGATTATTTTCATTTTTCATCAGTTGATTCCACTGATTCAAGAAGTTCCCAAATATCTTGGATAAAGATTTCGTAAAAATGTACTGGTTTTGTCCCGCCAGACAAGAGCCATTAGTCCACTCCAAATAGACTACCACTGGCATTCAGCAGTCATGAGGCACCACATTGTCTTACCATCACTGATTACGTCATCGTTGTTATTTCGTCCTCATCCTCCGACACCCTTCAGATTCTATATCAGCGGATAGCACGGGACGTTCTGTCATTACTTTCGAAGAGCAACCGGTCAAAATTGGAATTTAATGTTTTCGACTGCCATAATTTAAGCCTACATAATTTTGTTTCGAGTTTGATTGATACTTGATTTTCAGTTGGTACGATCTATGTGATATTGATGAATATATTGGTTTTATTATTATTGCATGACTCGACATTACATGTATAGCACTGTGCAAATCCCAGCACTTCTTTCCTTCTATTCTTTTCTCTGCACTAACCATCCACAAAATTCTTCGAACACTTTTGCATATGGGTTCGACCGCCGCTTGAGGATTTTTCCATCTTCATCGCGAAAATAACTGAGTGCTGGGCGAGTCAATTCTCTCTGGAATTATAGGATGGCCTTCCAAGGGTGTTTTCACGTGGATTAGAAGGAATCAGTTTGTCACAGATAAGTGTTGTACCAATCTCCCGACCTCGGAAGAATTGGGGTTAGAATAGGCCTAGCCAGCGCATAGGTAGGTTGGACGGTTCACGTCATGATTGGGTTCATGACCACAGTGTTACCCCCTCTCTACATGAAATCGATGAATACAGAAAAAAGGCAAGGTGCACTAAAATATATTTCGCACTTTTTACAGGACTTCACCAAAGACTGGCATTATTACGGTTGAATGGTGGAAAGTTTTTTTTCTTTCGTAATCTTTCGTCACACAAATGGGTTGGATATGTTCAAGAAATACAAAAAAGTACATGGAAGGACTTTTTTTTGAAGAATCCTCATGGTTAAAAAGGAAAGCGACACTATATAGAATAATTATGCATGGAAATTGTTCCAGGTTAACAAATGAACCTTTAAGAATTGAACAAACCGAGGTATTGTTTCATGTGTGGTTAGATCATTGTGGGTTTGTCCAACATGAATAACTGCTGCACCGTTAAGATTTCTCATTCAGTATTGGTGTCAATTAACAGCAATAAGGAAAACAGTGCTCCAAACAAGCCATTACTTTAATCCTTTTGGTTGTTGGTTAACATGTTGCGTACGTTTTTTTAGTTGCATATTCCACGGTGTTCTTCAGGGTCAAGAATTCCTGATACAGACAAATGTGGTACGTGCAAGGGAGAAAAAAGCGAGGAGATTAAAAAAATACTTGAGGTATGCTTGTGATTTTATTAGTAATCAACTTATCACATGTAGTAAGTGGCGTTGTCATCTACCTTCTAATTTTCTAGCGAATCGTGGAAAAAAGGAAGTTTCTGAGATTTAGGTTCACGTGGAGCCTGGTATGCAAAATAACGACAAAATAACCTTTCCTCGTGAGGGCGATCAAACGGACGTTAGTTCCTCACATCACTTGATTTGATGTTATTTTCATTGGACGTTCGTTGTTCTTATGCTTCCATCATTAGTTTTGTAGGAGCTACTTAGTGCAGTCCTTTTCGTTTGTTTGGTTTTTTAACTGGAATGTTTTGTACTCATTTATTAGAACTTTTCCTTCGAGTTAATCAATTTAAGCCGGAGATCGAGCCTGGTGATGTCGTCATTGTCATACAAGTGAAACCTCATGAAGTCTTTGAAAGAGAGGGTGATGATCTCATTGCCAAAAAGTTAGTTTCAAAATCCCCATAAAAGTATACACAAAAACTATTATACTATCGGTAATAAATAAGTGGAAATAACAAGTAGAACTCGACAGGTATTTCTGTTTAGGACAATTTCTTTGAATGAGGCTTTGTGTGGATATGAAATTCCTCTGAAACATCTAGATGGTCGGACACTCATCCTCAAGAACAAACCCAATGACATTATAACACCTGGTACGTTGCATAAAGATACTCTAGCTATTGTGTAATTGTTTGCAAACAGTCCTATCTTTTTGTTTCGTCAGTTTTAAGCCTTTTATTGACTCCTATCTTGATGGTCTGTTTAGGACGTAGTAGCTGTTTATCAACCATTATTTTTTGTGTAATATCAACTTTGGCCATGTTATTCATCGCATTCATCTCAAATGAGATTCACAAATTTCTCTATTCTCTCCCATCTTGCATTGGAGCTTCTAAGTTGGCTGTGCTGTTTCTGGGAGAAAGGCGCAGAGTTTTGCCATGTGAGATGAGGGATTTTTCTTTCACTGTATTTGAACAGCTGCCATAAGTAGCTTGCCGGACTTTGTTTCAATATGGGTTTTCGTCTGAAATGTGCTTTCGGATGGAAATGTTTAGCTATTCGGTCCGGATGGACCTGTAGCTGAATGGAGTTTCTGTTGTACTTTGCAGTTTTTTGTCCACAATTACATGCGACCACAGTTATGAGATAAACGGTTAAGGAAGATTTATTTCAGACTCTAGTAGAAGTGGATGCTAACAAATATTGTTAAGTTATATCTATATTGTACCGTCTCTCAAACAACTGATGCTTATTGGCCATGGTCCACATTTCCATTATTCAGCCCGCCAAGGTAGACCAATGTTAGGAACTCCACCTTCCTGCAAGAAACTTAATGCCAAGGTGCAAGCTTACTTGCGCTCCACGAAGCTCTGTGACTACCTATGATTACTATCTCCACAGGGTTCTTTGCACTCCATTTTTTTTTTGTCAAGCCAATAACATAGCTGTCGAAGGGAGAATATACTGTTGCTGGCACGATTCTGTGCGACACGGGCTTCATTCAGTTATCGAAGTTATTGGATTGAAGCAAATTCTGAAACCAACTTTTTGAATGGATTTTGGTTGTTTTCTATCTTTACTGGGACCAATTTATTCGATAAATCGAGTGTGTTGGACGTGTTAATACATTCGTGACGTGCGGCGTTAAGTGACGTTGCCGCTTGGGACTTTGACTACGAGTCGGTAGCTATGACTCATAGCAGTTCAAATTGAAATAACGGTCAATTTCTTGTCAAATTACTACTTAATGAACTCGTTCAAGGAAAAGTTTCCCGTTTATTTCTAAGTGCAAAACAGAGGTTTTTCACGCCGACGTCCGCAACAACATCTGTGTTGGAATAGCGTCATTTGATTATAAGAGTTGTACGAAAAGAGGTCGGAAAACGGTGTGGAAAAAGGTTATATGCGCCAAAGTAAACCATCAGGAAGAAAATAATCCTTATGTGGCTCATACTAGTTGACGTGCCGCGTTTGATACGTGTTTTATCTAGATTCTACATTGGAAGGCAGGAGAAGAATGTTTATATGGCCATTATTATGAACGCGTGTGAAGTCGTGGTACATTACACACGGGCTCAATCCAGTACCTCGGGATCACTAAGGTTTCCATACCTCTAGGGTCAGCAAATTGGTACGAGACATGTCTGGAACGGTGGCAGCAATGCACTTAATCGGGAGGCATACATCGGGAGGCCACCGCGAGTAAATGTATAAGCTATATATGCATTCAGTCACCTCCAACGATACTTAATGAAGTCGAATGCGTGAAGCATCTCACCGGGATTGATCAACACCGAACTTTATCCTTTTGTCCCCTATGGTCATTGCTTATTTTAGACTGCATACGTGGAATCATTGGCGAAGGAATGCCCCATAGGCGCCACCGTGATATTCGTGGAAATCTCTACATAAAATTCAGTGTCACATTTCCCAATGAACACTTCTTGGAAGACGAGTCGAAGTATAAGGTCAAGGAATTTTCATATTGCGCACATCCGCCTGTGTAGTCTTTTCACCTGTTCGATATGCCTTTCTCTTTATCACTGCAACGGATTTTTTTTCAGGTTATTGAAGCTGCATTCCCACCGATGCGGAAAGTGACTCATCCGCATGACGCCGAAGAGGTTTAGTGTTTGTTTCTACTAAGTGCCTTCAGCGCTCTTATTTACTTTTTTTGTGCTTGAATACTGTTGTGTTATTTTACCACTGCATATATTGAACATCCTATCAGTCTTGGCCGCGTACTGTGATACGAAGACATTCCGTGGTTATTTTGTGGGTAGGTTGAACGCGTTAGCAACTGATACGTCGCTACCCCATGATAGGAGTAAACGTGGACGACAAATCTTTCCACACCAATTTCAACACATAAACGATGACTAGTTTCAATGCTGGTGCTAGTCGTTTGATCTATCTGCATTCATTTCTCTTTTCTCGTCTTTAACACATTCGTGACGATGCCTAATTTTGTATGGTCAGCGTATGAGACGACGCCTAATTTTCGGCCGTTACGGACCTGCTATTACTTCGGGAATTGACGGTACTAATTCGAGAATTTGAAGATATGAGGGGCATGGTAGATTTATGGAAGATACCTTACTCTATCGTTCTGTGGATGTGGATGGTAGGTATGCTACTATTTACAACATAGTATTATAGTACATCATACAACAATATTGCTTTCGGCAGTTGGAGTGTTCTGAACCTCACGTTGGACCCATTTCTATACTTATTACACCCTCACCTTCCATACGATAACCATGGTTCATTATTAGAATTGGAATACTAGTCAATTTTCAGTCAAATTACCACTCAGTGAACTCGTTCGGAGAAGGTTTTTCTGTTTCCAAGTGCAGAATACAACTTTCTCCGGCAGACGGCCGCCACAACAGCTATGTTGGCTTAGTAATCTATTGGTCAAAAGAATTTTAGAAAACAGTTCCGTGTGCCGGTTTTCCTCTTACATGACTCATTTTCATATACTCTGCAGGTCTCATCACTTCTTGCATTCTATTCATATTTCCTCGCACTTATCGTCCACAATGGTCATCGAAGATTTCGCGTGTTGTTTCGGATGCTCTTTAGGGATCTCGTCTTCTTTAGGAATGTCGTAGAATGCTGGTCAAGTCGAGTTTCCTTGCAATCTTAGAGATAGCCAAGTTAAAACCTTCCCACGTTGATTGGAGGAGAGGGAGTCGAATTAACGTTTTTGTTTATTGATCGACGGCATCACTAAACGCTGCACCCCTTCGCTCCTGTCTGCCAAAATAAACGACCGAAAACAAAATGGCCTCAATAGAGGTCATTCTGGCCACAATGTCCCATTACAAACTGCTCTAATAGAGGTAACATCGATGCGAATGTGTTAATTTGATTTATAATGGAAACCTGAGTAGTTTTTTCCTTAGAATATAAAAAAGCAATAACTGGCATAATTTTAACTCCTTTGTAGTTCACAGGACACTGAGCAAAGAAGAAAGAAAGATATAAAGATTAGAACTGCTTCGTCTTATGTGTCAAGGTCAGCAAATATGCCTAAGAAGTCGAATTGCGCACAGAAAACTGATGTGATTTATAGTTTGAGATGTTAGTCACTGAAGAAGAAAGAGTACATATTTGCATATATTGTGTACTTGATACGTGAATGGCCCGTCGTCACTGCTTGTGGGAGTTCTAGCATAATCTCCATTTTTCGAAGATTTGCTGGTTAAGCCATTGTGGTTCCCTGGAATCCCGAAGTCAACCTGGCCAAAGTCTGCGCAGGTCTTCACCACCATGGGCAGTAGCCGCCCTTGTGGATCAGAGGGAGATTTGCCACCACGCGACTACTTTGATACCAGGACGGTGGTGGATCCTGGTGTTGATTTATATTAGCTAGCGTTCCTGATGATAACGGCGAACTCGTTCTCAGCTTGTGAGACCTTGCCAGGAGATCAATCCCCAGCTTTACATAGCACTCCGACACCCAGGAACACCTCCCAACCACGATGAGGCGGTAAACCGTTGGGAGAATATATATATATATATATAATTTGTATATATTTCCTTGCATATATATGTACATCTGTATACATATATATAGAGGACACTTGCATCTCCTAAGCCGTTGAGAGGGTATACATATATATATATGTATATATATATATATATTATATACTATGTAAGTGTCCTCCCACGGTTCACCGCGTCATCGTGGCTTTCCGGGTGTTGGACTGCGATGTACAGCGGGGGGATTCGTCCCTCCAGCAGGGTCTCCCAAGCTGAGGAGTTCGACGCTTCCATCAGGAAGCCTAGCTAAGAGTAAATGAATACCAGGGTACACCGCTGCCTTGGTGTCAAAGTCGCTTGGTGGTAAATTTCCCTCTGATCCATAAGGGCTGCGACTGCCTGTCGTGGTGACACCTAGAACAGACTTTGGCCAGATTGTCGTCAGGATTCCAGTGGCTTAACCAGCAAATCTCCGAAAAATGGTAATTATGCTGAGCCCCGCACAACTAGTGATGATCGGCCGTTCGAGTACCAAGTAAGTAGGTATAGGATATATAGATATATGCATATATATTATATATATTTATATATATATATATATAATATGGTGGAAGTATGGTGGTGCTTCGACTTTTTAAAAATGTGTATTATTTTACATCAGTATATTGTTTTATCTGGAAAGTACATCACACTCATATTCTTCTCGTTGCAATTGGTGAAAATTTCTAATTTATTAGCAACTACTGTACCTTCTTCGGTTATAGATCACTGTAATTGTAGCATGTTTTTCTGTCTATACGGCGAACTTTCGTGTAACAGGAGAAGGGTGATGAATATGAAACTGACTGTACTACAACTTAATGGCGCGTATATATCCCAACAGAGTGGATTTAAATATTCCACATAATTGTAACGTCGCGCTTATCACGTAACACAAGCATTGTCCATGTTTCTCCGTTCCACTCTCCTTCTACTAAGGTTTCATTAAAATGCTAATAACAAGTCCTTTGTAAGTAAATTTTAAAGTATTAGAAATTAAATTGAAAGCAAACAGAAATACGTGTGTAAGTTGAAAATAGAAAGGTTTTATAATCGTATGTTTTACCATGATGAGTTGCTCAATATTTGTCGTTTTCAACTTCCTTTAATATCATTACGTCGTTGTTTTAGGTGTCGTTGATGGAGTACGATGAAAAACGATATCATGGTGGAAGAGGAGGTCAAGCTTATGACGAGGATGCTTCTGATGATGAGATGAGTGGACATGGACATCATGGGCCACAAGTGCAGTGTGCACAAAGCTAGGAATGTTACATTTATTACGTCATATTGTTATGTATGGTAACAGTACGCTTCCATTGTGATCTGTAGAGGCAAAAATCGTTGACATCCGGTATGAGTTGTATTCTTCAAGGACGTGAAATGAATGTGCTGTTCTAAATGATGTATGAATGATTAGGATTACTAGATGAATGCCTATATTTATCTAGTACATGAGTTTTGTGTTGTGGAATTGGAAGGATTACCCAATAACGTCCGAAGTGAGTTGGTTAATGCATTAGGTGGGAAAGTAGTTACGGCGTTCAACAATAAACCTACGTACTTTAATGGCTTGAATTTTGAACACGGGAAGAAATTAACAAGCACGATTTCATCCAATAGGGCACGATGGGATTTTGTAGTGTATCGCTTGCAGTGTCGGTTGCTGTTCTTGGGGTCGAAGTTTTACGAATATAGGTTTTGTTTTCAATTCTTTGAGAGCTTTAGGTCTAAACAATATGAGGATCGAAATAGTATTTTTATTGAAATTAAACGTATGCTTAGGACAATGTAGCACAGTCTTTTGTGTAAACTCCTAGTGCTCTCAATTCCTGAAGTATTCTAATAACTAAGAAATCATCAGTTCGTGGAAAAGTAGTTTTGCGTGCTTTGTGGACCGACTAACCAGTGTTTGTTTATCAATACGCATTTCGAGGGTAGAATTTTGTTCCGGAATCTGTGCTGCCAAGAATTCGGTTATCGTCGTCAATTTTTTGGCAGTAGAGATCCAGTATTGTAACGAACTAGGTGATCGCTTTCATTAAAATTCCTTCAATTTCCCCAGTGCTGGAGACAATAGTGGTGATACCGTCTTTATTGGTATACAGTGAAATATTTGCTGATCGTCATTGAAGTTGCGAAGTACCAGGTTAACAATGGCTGATAAGGTATACTCTAGTACTGTTTGCCAGTCGAAATAAATCCATTTAAATGGGTCAAAAGGCGCAAGTATTTCCACCAACGTATGACTGGGGATCGGTTCAGCACGACCACTCCTCACCGAAGTACCCAGGAGTTGATATGAACTTACTTCAATACTTAGTTGGTCCGTCTTCACGAGCTGTGTGGACCCCAGCACATATGTCATTCCTTCCTTTCGCAATCGTAGTCCATGGAGGTGGTCTTGTTCGAGCATGGCAGCGCTTGCGAGTCTCATACCGTGATCTGTAAAACAACTGCAGTTGCGGGTACAGCTGATTAACTTTGTTTACGAACACGTCCGCCCAACGTGTAGGCCGTCCAAGAGGACGTTTGCATTCCCTTGGAGTCCACTCTACTGTTCTTTTCGTCCATCTGTCGTCGGCTCTTCTCATTATGTGATCGGCCCATCTATGTTTCGCTGTCGATGTATATTCTCCTGGATCTCGAAGATGTGGCAGATTTCGAAGGTCAGAGTTTCGTATTCCGGCTACATATTGAGAGTGGCGGTTAAATTTCAGAAGACATCGCTCAATTGCTCTGTGAGTAGTGCGAGCATTCCGCACGTGGTTGAAGTATTAGCCCATTTCTCTGCAGCATGACAGAGCGTTGGGAGGACCGTAGGATCGAAGAGATGAGCGCGGATTTTCGGGTCCTTCAGTTGGTCGGTGGTTTCTTTGAGAAACCCGAATGAGGCCCGAGTGCTCTCGTTCTTCTATATAGTTCTTCGTTCATGATCTTTCCCATGTTCTTTGATCGCCCAAGGTAAACGTACGAGGTCTCTGCAATGAGAGAGCCATCCAATTCAATTTTTTCGCCTTTGCACCATGGGTTTTTCATGAACTGGGTCTTCTTTAGATTTATGCGAAGTCCGATCTTTTTACCCGCTTCGTTGAGCTCGCTGATCATCACTTCTGCTTCGCTAGTACTTCTTGATAAGATGGCAATGTCGTCGGCAAAACGAAGGTTTGATAGAAATTTTCCATCAATACGAATGCCTTTCTCATCCCAATCGAGTGACTTCATTATCCACTGCAATGCGGTACTAAACAGCTTTGGTGTCATTGTGCCATCCTTTCGAATCCCTTTTCCCATGTGTATGGTAAGAGGTCGATGGAAAAGATGCATTTTCGTAGTGCAGTTCCGATAATAGTCGGACAGTCCTTATGTAGGACGGGTCCACTCCTTGGTCGACGAGTGCTGATAGGATTGTATTCGTTTCGACACTGTCAAACGCTTTCTCATAGTTGACAAAGGTTAGGACTAGAGGCAAGTGGTATTCCCGACAAACTTCGATGACCCTGGGCACGGTTTGGATGTGGTCCATGCAACAAAATCCTTTTCGAAATCCTGCTTGCTGGACTGGTTGCGCCCCAAACAATGTCCTTGATATGCGCGAGAGGTCAATCTTTGTGAAGTGCTTGTAGAGTACACTTAACAATCATATGGGACGATAGTTACGAAGATTCCTTCGGTCTCCTTTTTTGGACAAGATGACCGTGCGCGGCGATCTCCACTGGCCTCGGATTTTTTCCTTTTGAATGTAAGCTGTCACATGATTTGCGAGAAGTACATCTAAATTGTGTCCTCCAGCTGTAAGGAAATCGGCAGTGATATTATCGGGTCTTGGAGCTGTGTCTCTTTTCATGCTTCCTATTGCAACTCTAACCTCCAGCGGAAGAATTTCAAGTGCTTTTTCTCCAGCGGAGATATTAGGGCCCGGGACGGGGATTGTGGAAAGGAAAAGGTTGGTGTAGAACGTTTCCGCTATTAATTCCATGTCATGGCGGGAAGTTTTTACGATCCCATCTTCCTAATAACTCGAAAGACCGACTTTCTGTAAACCTCGGCATAGATAGTTGATATATTTATTTATGTGATCTTATAAACTGATCTTCTTAAGCTGACGCGACGTTGGTACAGATCTTCTTCATCGTTGTCGTCGTTTTTGATGTTGCTGGTCGATGGCTGACGTTTCGGCGACTTCGCCTTCCTCAGTGCCTGGACGTATTTAATATTAGAATATTTTTATTCGGTGGAAAAAAAGGTTAAAGTGTTAATGAAGATCAAACTTTCAAATAAACGCCATGTTGAACAGAAAGGCCACTCACCGTGATGTTACGTGCTGGACTGGCCCACACGTATTTCACATAGTCGCGAGCAAGACACGCCCCGGCGTCAAAATATCATTTTGAAATAGGGCGTCAGGTCACGCGTGATAGTGAGGCATTCGTCCTTCCGGTTCATCTTTGGATTTTTGAAATTTTTCCAAAACGCCTCAAGAGTTTTGCGCGTTGATGTTTTTGATTCCTGCGCTAGGATCCGCACAGTCACTTCAGAATCATCGCCGTTGTGCCTTTGTGCCCTATGCGTACCTAGAGGGGTGTTTAGACGGATTTTAGTTTTTCCATCCAGATGTTCTTTTATGCGGACACAAAGTGGTCTACCCGTTTCCCCGATATATTCCTCGCCGCATGCATTACATGAGATCAAGTATATTATACCTAAACTCATGCAATCCCCGTCTCTCCCGTTAGGACAAATCATACAGTTTTCTGAGCTGCACAAGCGATCATAGAGACGGTTTAGAATTAACTGACGGCGTAGGGTATTGGGTGGGATGTCAATAATCGTTACATAATTTTCAAGACCACTTTTTCTTAAGCACTTTTTAATGGCGTGACTTACTCCATTTGATATGGAGGGTAGCTTAAAGGAGATCTTACTTACGTCCGAAATACTCTTTGGGAAACTACCCAACGTTTTTCTCCAGACCGAGTGGCTTCTACTTCGTAGCCATTGGAAATGGCAATTTTTCGTACCAGGTTTCGCGATTCCTTCCTTTCCTCTTCTCCTGTACCCACATTTTTAGCCGTGCAATACATGTTTTTGATAAGTGCTTTTTTCATGTGTGAAGGATGAGAGGAGAGGTAGTGAACTAGAATGTTTTTACTACTTGGCTTGCGATACCATTTTGTTATATAGCCACTTACTGAGAGCTTTATTTGGGTGTTTAAGAATGGAAGCCAGTTCTCGGTAGCTTTTTCTCGTGTAAATTTTATATACTCTGACTGTCGGTTTAATAATTCAAAGCACTCATCCATCTATTCTTGTGTGGAACAGACGATGAAGCATTCGTCTATATATCGTTCATCTTCGTTCATCAGGGCTGACAGCGGAACGTTAGAATCACACAAGTCCCGACGGCTTTTTTTCAGACTGCTTCTTTTCTCTGCTGATTCTACTTCTGTTCAGCAAACATGAGGTGTTATTTTATTTCTTTATTTACCACAAGCTGACATTTCGGCGGATTTCGCCTTCCTCAGAGTCTGGAAAGGTCAAGTTGACCGCAACCTATCTTGCCGGACACCTCCATAACCAAACAAAGAAAATACTAAACCAAAATTTCAGTCACACTGAACACTAACTGATCACTAACGGTTAGTGTTATGTTTTCCAACCTTGTCAGCTCTTTTACCTCCCGCATTTCACGTTTTAGCACTTCGCTGAGGTTGTAGCAGTATCTTTTCGCGCGATAGTGATTAAGGACATTGAAAGTTTCAGTTGTAAACATCTGAAATTTAACATCAACTTCATTATTGGATTCTTGTTGTCTAAAGAACGGTCGAGGAAGCAGTGGAATTCGTAGTGCCCCTACTTGTTGTTGTTCGCGCATATTTAGCGCTTCATCCCTAGCTTTTTTGCGGAGTCTATTTTGAAGTTCAAGTAAACTACGTGCGACCCTACGCAAGATTACCTTAAAAATGGGTTCAGATGGTGAAAAACTATGGGCATTGCGAATACCACCATTTCCTCGACTGTTCTTTAGACAGCAAGAGTTCAATAATGAAGTTGACGTTAAATTTCGAATGTTTACGACTGAAACTTTCAAAGTCCTTAATCACTATTACGCGAAAAGATAGTGCTCCAACCTCACTGAAGTGCAAAAACGTGGCATGCGAGAGGTAAGATGGCTGATAAGCTTGAAAAACATAAGACGTTAGTGATGAGGGTAGAGAGTTTGTAGTAATTCCCCATCAGATGATGAAATGTAGAGATAACGAAGA